ACGTCTGTCCAATGCGGCACTGCGCAAATATACTATGTATTAGTAGGATGATGAAGAACATGTGACTGACTGATTTCACGCGTACTTTACTTCTGCCTCACAGAAAATTCTGGGGCTTGGAATCTGTCAATCACATAGTCTCCCCACTCGTCACTCTCTCACCTGCTCTCTCAGTAGAATTACCATTACGGTGAATACGGCTCAGTGTGGGAATGCTCCGTGCATTGGCAGTGCAACAGTCATGGCCAGCGCCTCAAATCAGAGAGATGCAGTTAGCCAGCCAGAGTTACCAGTTCTGCTTATCATAGGCCAGTTAGGGCTTCTTTTTTCACAGAGTAACTTATAGGAGCTTATAGCATTTTTTTTTTGTTTAGAGAGTTTAGAGAAAGGAGGAGGCTCATTAACATTTTGCCAGCAAATATGATTATTTTTTGTTATCATCAGGTTCACAAATGAGCGTTCATCATTTACTAACGGAATGTTTGTTGATGACTGGGTACGTGAGTGTGTGGCGTGTACCAGGTTCTCCATCAAGGAAGGCAAAGAATACTCATCGCAGCGCCCTCCCCTGCTCCCCCGTGCACACACCTATGGTTGAGTGATGAAGTCAAACGTATGCTGGGGGGATCAGCAATTATTGTTAATCATGCACTGGCAAATGTGCTTTTAACCAAATGAAGATGACCCTGGTGACAATATTAAGTTGTAGCTATGTGCTATCATTAAAAGTTCCACACATTTTCATTGGACAAACTGGTTGGATGATTTTTTAAGCTCTTCCTGTGTACTTGAGTGCCATTTTTCAATCATAATTATAGTCATTTTCAAAAATAAGAACACTCATTACGTTTCTTCTTCTTTTGAACTTGCTGTCCTCGGTAGCATCTGGCAAGACTAACTCCAGCCAAGGAGTGTTGCTCTCCAGTGCTGCAGCAGACAGGAGCAGCACACTCCAGTGCTGTAGCAGATAGCGCAAAGTGTCTCCCATGGTGGTGCTTGTGCGCATACGCAGGAAACCTTGGATGCGCGGAGGCGCCAGATGCAGTGTCACCCCTCGGTGCACGGCCATGCCGAGCCATGTTATTCTAACAGCAGAGTCTGAGCTGCCAACAGATTCACCGAGCCAGCGCTCCACTCCAGCGTGGAACAACGCCTGCAAATCTATGCTTTGAACCCAATTCACACCGCCAGAGCTATAAATGAGAGCAAGGAGGAAGTGGAAGTGCTCAAGTTTCCCGGAATACCTTGCATGAAGTTATTGCATTCCACTAGTTCCGCTGTCAAATTCTGTTGAATTCCCACTCGGACCTGACAGTTTGAGCATCACTGTCGTGAATTGCTCGTGAAGGAACTGGAATTTCGTCGGCTCGCAGCTGTCACTATCGATCAGCAGATGCAGTGCCGCACGATTCTGCAATGGACGTGTAGCAGCCATAGTCGATAACACTGCAGGGAAATGTTGCCGCAGAAGAGGAGCTAGTTTCATGAACATGTAACCTAGTGGTAGAAGAGGGAGAAGAAGAGAAAGCAAAAATGAGAGAAAAAAAACAACATCAATTGAAGAAATAAAGAAAGAAGAAGGCCACACATTGAAGCAGGCCAGGTGGAAAAAAGAACACAAAGAAGAAGAGGTTAGGGAAGGTGCACAAGAGTCGTTGTGGCCAGAGGAAAGAACGGGAGAAGGAAAGGTGGTTTGGAACGGCAAGAGGCATAGACGTGCAGGATAGCGGCACGGCGTTTGACAAAAGTCTGTCAGCAGAGCTCTTGGCCAGCTGCCCCTGCCTTCTCAGCAACGCCCTGTGAGCTGTGGGGTGCGACCAGGAGAGGAGCCCTGCCGAGCGATGTATTCCTTGTGAGGATGCGAACGATGTCTTGTAGTTTTGCTTCATAGAGTGTACATCCCAAGGACGAGCGGTACAGTCACTGCGGACACCCGACGCTGCAATCACATCATACTGCAGAGACCCGACTGTGTAGCCAGCGGCCGTGCACGTGTGGCGCGACATACTTCATAGACGTAACGAGCCTTGACAACTCGACTCCGGAGCTGCCACCACGTCAAGCCTTGCATTTGTACTGTAAATATATCTTTCTTGGTTGTGTATATAGCATGTAAGGAACCCGTTATAGCTTAGCTTTGGCGTATTCCGCTGCTTGGGGTTTTTCGTAATTGTCTGTCATTCTTGTAAAAAACTTTTTGTACTCCTTTCGTTCTTGTGTTGTGCTTAACATCTAGAGATTATGACCGCTACTCATCCTTTTGATTGCTGGCAACATAGATAACAATGCAAGGAATCGTTGCCGAAAAAGAGAAACTAGTCACCCTCTAGCTTTCTAGCACATGTGCAATCTGCCTGTCACCTTTTCTAAAGGCACGAGATAGGGCTGAGCCTACATTTCTAACGCTTGTCTGTTGACGCTGTTGACGTGTGCAGACAATTGGGGCGATAAACGATAAACTTGGAGCGCCCATTCCTAATCACTTCCTTTTCAATGGTTTGGAATACTCTTGCAGGCCTCTCGCATCGGAACACGTGCGATTTGCTCATTGAACTAGAGGACGGCAGGTAAGACGCCTTCATTTCGCCAGCCGTGCATGCGTGTGTGTGTGTGTCTGAATTGAAAAATTACAGCAAGGAGGTATCCGTGTTATCATTACAGTGGCAGAAGGCATCTTCAGATATAGTACTCGCAAACTTTAATTACAACAGTAAACATAGAAATTAAAAGAATTACCTAGTTAACCAATAAAATAGACAGTCGACTAAAACAGATAATTTCAAGTCCTTCCTGCGAATAGCTCGTAGCCACTTTAAAACTTTTCAAAGACGGTCACTGGTTATCACAGGAGGGCAATGAAATCTGGAAGGTGAAACCAAAACTGACACACCTAACAGCGGAGTGGGAGCGGCAGCATTTTTTCATCAGTGTTGTTCTAATATGCCTGGCTTGCTTTGCAGATCGTGCCGTTTGCAATCAAATGTAGCGGATAAAGCTATCAATGAAGAAATGATATTGCTTTAGTGCAGCTCAATTTGAGCATGAAGGAAAGATGCTATACCGTCAAGAAGGGCAAAAAACAGACAGTGTGAGCGGTGTTTTTTTTTCCTTTCTTGACCGTATAGCACCTTTCTGCACGCTCAAACTGAGCTGCGCTAAAGCAATATCCTTTTATCATGCACCAACTCGCCCAGTCAGCAGTACTTGTTGATTTCCAAGCTATCAATTTCCTGCCTTACTTTGCTCGTCTTCCTTGTAGCAGTTGACTATGGGTGACATCATTGTGACGATGCTGTGGAAAATTCTAGGCGCCGTCACCAGCAGAAGAGGACTTAAAAGCATCTCTAGAACGACCAACCTTCAGTGGGAGCAGCAGTGTTTCTTCAACAATGCTATTCGAGCACACCTAGTTTGCTTTGCAGGTTGGTTACTATTGCCCTGTATCCAAATTATATTCAAGTGACCCTTTTTTTGTTGCTCTGCTGCTCCGAAACGGTTGTTTTTAATTTTCAAGCGCATTGTGAACATATTTGACGTTATGATTTCCCGGTGACGTTACGAGGAATCCACGACCTACTGCTGATGAACTGCTGCAACTTATATTAACTAAACAAATGCAGAATGAAACTCAGCTTACTCACACAGAAGGTAAACTGGAAAGCTTCACTGAGCAATTAGAAAAAGTGGAAAAGCTCGGGACTACCATTCAAGGAGCTGACAGTGCGATTGAACACTAACAAGAGGGACTAATTGAGCTATAGGAGATAGGGCATGACAGAACAACATGGTTGTTTTTGGCGTCCCGGAAAGCATCCCTGAAACGCAAGAGGATCTTAGTAACCAAGTTATAACAGGCATATTTGCTCAGCGTTTTGGTGTAACATTGTCTGTATAAAGAAATCACAGAATTCACCATAAGAAGGGTGGCCATCCAAGACCAGTTATCATAAGATTGTATGATTACAAAAAGAAAGTAGCTGTCAGATACTATAGAAAATTTGAAAACAACCACGATAAGTGTGTCCGACAATTTCCCACAGGAAATGCTTCAGAAAAGGATGCTGCTTTGGCATTTCGCAAATAACAATAAGCACGGTGGCGTGATGATCAAACAGCCATTTGAAAATGTCAAAATGCAGCCACTGATAATCACCGCGAAGCAATGAAATCTGGCTAATCTAGCGGGGGAAACTGAAACCGGCATACCAAACAGGGCATCTATAACATCTAAAATGCCTTCAACGAAAAAGTAATTGTTTGAAATTATCTGAAAAGTCAATTGTTTTAATTTCTTTATTACTACTGTGATTATTGCTTGTACACATCTGAAAATGCATTCTGCCAAAGGAAAGGGAAGGCCGCAGGTAACACGCAGATGCCTCCTTTCTGTAATTTTTTTATAATATTAGATGCATTTCTTGAAACACCCTGTATATGAGACCAGGCCTAATACTGGTTTGACTCAAGCCTGGGCCCGATCCAAGCCTGAAGCTCGAGCATGGGCCCTAGCTCGGTCCGGGTCCGATTCGAAAATGCCTTATCCAGCCCGCGAGCCAGGCCTGGGCTGTCTGGCCCATGCAGTGTTCAAACTTCCCCCTCCGCCTCGAAAATTTTTTATTTAGAGTGCGTATATATACATTATATATTGTAGAAATTGCAGCTATAAATTATATAAATTGCCAGCAGCAAGCACAGGACCGAGTTAACTGGCAGAACATGGGAGAGGCCTTTGTCCTGCAGTGGATGTAGTCAGGCTGATGATGATGATGATATATATACACTCACATATAAACGCATGCACGAACATATATAACGTATAGTTCAATTCCACATACTTACACCCCACCTACATACTTACTTACACATACATACATACTTACACCCCACCATACTTACACTTTTTTTTCTTCACATTTACAACGTGATTACTTCTAATAACATCTCCTATACTTTCCTTAGCATCATTGTTCTCATCGATTCGAATAGAGTCTGTTACATACCTTTGGGCAACAGGTGGTGATGAGGAGTGCGCGCCAGCTGTCGTAAGCGTTGCGTTCTTTCTCGGAGGAACTGCTGAAATGCCTCCGTTTCGACAAACCATTGCAGGAACATCTGGGCACCTCGTGAAGACGGGGCGCGCATGAAGGCATCACGCTGGAAAGATTGCAAAATAACAACCTTTGCTGGAAAACCACACTTCTTCCGAGGCAGCGAGGCACTTTAGGTTTACATGACAAAGAAAATGATTTTATGGCCGTGAATACAAAATCTTTATAGCATGCTTCATTAAAAAAAATGAAACTATATGTTGATAAAAAGCAATGGGAGCTAGTGGGTACGTCTTCATACTTTTGATTCGCTGCAGGGTAAAGAAGAAAACCAGAGTTAAAGTGGTTGCTAAGGTGTGTTGGTATGACATAGTGAAAATAAACAGTGTGAAAAACTAGAGACCAGACAAAGAGGGCATGAAAGGTCTGTGTCCCACTTTGTGTGGTCTCTCGTTTTTTTCGCTGTTTCTTTTTCAAAACTAGAGTGTCTGGAACTGGTCTCGGGAGCGCTTGTATCTGATGGAATTCAGAGTCGTAAGACGGGCGTGGCAAAAAACAAACACACTTTATATAACGAAAAATAAAATGCAAAAAATCAAAAGCGAAAATGAAACCAACACTCGCGGACACAAAACTACCCCAATAACAGCACAAGCAAAACAGTCTACAAACCAGTCTAAATCCATTCTTAGCCCAAGCTGCTACAATCGGAACGCTTTTACAGTTCACACCAGCTTCTCTCTGTCGCCATGTTGAGGTTTGTCAAGTACATCGTTGACTTTCTTCTCAACCTCGCACTGTCATCGTCGGTTAGTCCCTCCGAACGAACCACTCATCATCCCCGGTGTCCCAGACTTCATCATCATCTTCGACCTTGCTAGGCTAGGCTTAGTTTTGTCATTGACTAATTTGATGGCAAGCCCGCTGTGCTGACTGGTGTGGTCTGTGGCCATCCTGCCACGAAGTGGGAGAGCTACAAGTCGACCAGGAACTGCTGTGCAAGGTTGTAGCAAGTGCGGGCAGTCTCACTCAGAACCTCCGAGGTGGATGGCCACTCCTCGGGCCTTTAACGCCAACACCCCTCAGAACAGGGTGGCTATACTGCTTCCGCCTTGGTAGTGATTTTCCATGTCTTCACAGCTTGTTGTCTTAAAGTGCCATGCCAGCTCATCTCCTGGAATTTTTCCTCACGACCCGGGTCGCATGACCCGGGCCTTTCCCCGACCAATCTTTTGTGTCTACATGGCTGGTGCGCGAGCTCTCAGATGACTATTTTCTCCCCGTGCACTGTCACCGCGCTTCCATGTTCGGTACACACTTCATGCGTCTCCTTTACTCATGACACAGTGATGACACAGAGTGATACACAGACCAACAAATACTTTCTCGTACATAAGGCTGTTCTCGATGAAAATAAAGTGCTACTTTGCACATCACTCCGTTTCATCTCCGATTTTTTAAAATCGGCTAAACACTTGGAAAGAATTTTGTGCCAATTGTTCATGCAGTGGCTGACGATGATGAGGAATTATGCCTGAAGTGGGCATGTGCCACAGTTAACTGAACAAAAACAAGCTTTTAAGTTCACCATGTACAGAGCTTCCTTGACAACCTAATTGTCCAAATAAGTGCCGTATCTCCAATCAGTGATAGCAAAAGCTCTATTAAAATACAGTTTGATGAACTTTTTCCAAAACAAGCGAAACTAATGTCAGACCTCACTTTAAATTCTACTTTGAGTGATTATCAAGTTCATTCATCAATGAGGACAGTCATTGCGACAGATGCTTTGCGAAATGAAGAAAAATGAGAGTTGAGACATTCGCCCCTATTCTAGATTGGTCATTTTCTCTACGCATTCCAGATTTTGTACCCATTTTTGTAGCAGAGTTTTTTGCTATAATTTTGGCTCACCACAAATTAACTGCGTGAACTAGTTTGGCAATAGTTTTAACTTATTCGCTGTCAATGCTTTTTCTCACTGCAACTGACAACTCCCACGTGCTGAGTACATTTAAATCATTAGTTCCAACGTATATACAGTTGGTCAAATTGGCTTGGGTACCAGGGCATAAGAGAATTTTCCTCAATGAAATGACGGATGCATGATCATTAAATGGCCCAGTTAATCACATACTTCCAGCATCTAAATTCGTTATAGGGGCTAGATTTAAAAGGAAAATGATGTTAGAATAATCTTCTTGGCCATCCATAATAAACACATTGGAATTTCAACACCTAAATTATCATTGTAACAGTAAAATATGTGACACGCGTGAAGTTAAAGTTGTAATCACAAGACGGAGGTGTCATATTCCATGTCTCATTTTTTATTTACATTGAGCTGGTCTGGCTACTTAATCCAATTGTTGGTTTCGTGGAGTCCCTGAGACATCAGATCATTATTTGATATATTGTAAATAGTGCACTGCATTGCACAAAATTCCATTAGATGCACTCTTTCGTTTTGTAGGATTGGCATTGACCACTACTGGTGTACTTTCTTGGGGCTTTGTCCCTATGGTTCACTGATGGGAAAGTTGCCGATGCCTTGCAGGAGTTTATTAAAGCTTCAAAAAGATTCAGACTGTAGAACAGATTATTACTCCTCAACTACCTTTTTTTTCTAAATTGTTTGATTCATTCATTTACTTATTGTTGTTGGTGAAACCATCTGCTTCATTTTCTACATCCGTTATTTCTAATTTTCCATTTCTGATTTATTTTTGCCCTTTTTCAATAGTTTGAAAACCGTGAGTGAACAAATTAACAGTATTTTGCCAGAACTACCCTGGTTCTTGGTCAATCCTCCAGCGTGGGTGTGTGCTACAGTTTCCAGGCACTTCTTTTCTTTCTTCTTAATGGGCTAGAGCATCCGACGACCCACTCGTTAAGCCATTCGCATTGTGTGAGGCCTCGTTGTTCTTTTGCTGTTCTAAAATGCTTTATTACTCATATTAACACAATTTCTTTCCCGACATCAAGCCTGCCTAAAGCAAGTTTGTATCCCGAGCAATGTCGTGGCTCAGTGATAGAACACTGGGCTGGCACGCAACGGACCTGGTTTGGAGCCTCACTGTGTCCTTGATAAAAGGCAGTTTTTTTTTTTTTCATTTTATACAAAGTGGTTACGAACATCAGCGGCAAACAACTACGGCATCTCGCGTCATCTGAGTTATAATCTCATAACAGCTTTCGCAGTAAAAAATTTCTCATGGTGAACAGTCGGAGATAGAGTCATTAAGGTAAAAAACGTAGGAAGGAGAGTGCTTTGCTTTGATGCCTAGTGCTCCATGCTTGTGATAAAATTCCCAGGATGCTCCTGTTTCATTTTTGATGGCTGGGATTTAAGTTTGTTGCCTGACACTTACTCCTAGTTTTCTTTTTTTCCTGCATGCTTGGCATGTGTACTGGACATAAAATTGTTTTCGCATCGCAAGCAAACTGCTGATTACAAAAGTACCTTTTTGCATCATTGTTTCAAGAGGGCATCAGACAGCTCGCACAATTTAAATAATTTGAGCTGTGCGAATAGAGCTCATAAAATAATTTTGTATACTTAACCATGCGGTGCGCATGCTTTTACTCGTGCATGACACCCATATTCTATAAGAAAGTGGGGCTGAGGGAGAAAAAACAATCAGGCAGCAGCGGGGACGACGAAAGGACGCACGCTAACCTACTGTCTGCACTCTTTGCAGATACCAGCATATCGTCAAGAAAAGTGACCTGGACAGCGCTACCGAAACCGTCATCTACCTGAGCCTGCTGCAGTTTCAAGCTGTTATCAAGTTTGTGCTGGGGGCGTTGTCTCTTTGCAACTGGCTTCACTCAGGCAGCAGCAGCGACAGCGAAAGGACGCACGCTAACCTACTGTCTGCACTCTTTGCAGGTTGGTTAACTTTCATATTGAACATAATATGCACCTAATTTCGTCGCTGCTGCTGCTGCTGAAGTTTTATTGGGCATTGTAGTCACAACAGTGTTTTTCTTTTTAATCTTCAAACTTTGTCTCTTGCTTTGTGTGCACAAGAGCATTTTCGTGCAATTTTTTTACTTGAAGTGCTTGAAACCATGGGGGATAAAAATTCGGGCGACATGGGCAATATTGCGGCGACCCTTGCTGAGAGGCAGCCTAATAGCATTAAACAGGTCGTGAAATTTCTAGGTGATCTGGTGGGAAGACTTGACGTGTTCTCGACTGAAGTTAAATGTTAAATAGCTAAGGTCGCTTCCTCGAACACTGAAATAGTCACTGAACTTGGAAGTGTTCGAGATGCTATTGCTTTCATGGATGAGAGCTTTGAGCTCTTTAGGACTGACGTGGAGGCTTTTCGCAAGGAGATTGACGTGGTAAAGGCTGAGAGTGCGCAGTGTCGTAAGGAAAACGAAGAACTGCGAAAGGACCTGAAAGAAGCTAGACGGTAAATTGTCGAGCTGAAGCAATACAGTTGAAATATGAATATTGAAATCCAAGGTCTTCCGCTAATCGAAAAAGAAAACTTGGAGAAAACTGTCGCAAACATCGCCAAGTGCTTAGGAACTGATGTCACAGATAACGACATTGACGTCGCGCACCGTGTACTATTGAAAGATAAAAAGAAATCGAATGTGGTCGTCAGATTCCTCACCAGAACGGCGCGATTCAAGATGTTGTCCGCAGCAAAAAAGATTAAACTAGATAGCACTCGTCTTGGTTTTCACAACAGTAACCCTGTATATATAAATGAACACCTGTGCATGAAAATAAAGGTTCTGCTCAGTAAGACGCGGCAAGCAAGGCGTGAAAGAGAATGGAAATATGTATGGGTATCACAGGGCAGAATCTTTATGCGGAAAGCAGACAGGACATCTGTTTTAAATGTAACTTCTGAGGCGGATCTGGCTAAAGTAGTCTAGCTTAATAGTAGACTTATATTTCTGCTGTGAACAATGGCAATGTACTCCAGCGTTTCTGAATTGAACTCGTATGTAAGTGGCCGTCATAGGCAGCCCATGACATTCCTTCACATTAATATGCAATCAGCTCGTTCAAAAGAAGAAAACTTTCTTTTGTTTCTTGATGAGTTCAATTTTTTCTTTTCCGTTATTATGATGACTGAAACT